GTCCCGATTTTTCACACTTGCTATCTGGTCACCCTAAGAGCCATAGTGTAGGCGTGGCCTTACTCTCCATTTTTCCTGCCCTTTCCTTGCAAGAATTCCGTCTGGCAGTTTCCATTTGGCTGCCTGTCCCATGTCCCTACACTCAGGTCTCTGAGAAGCCCCTGGCACCGACTGCCCCTTGTGCCTGGCATTCCAAGTTCTGTCATAGTTTCATGGAATTTAAGGCTAGAAGGAACCATGAACTCATGTGCTATCACCACTTGTATACCACAGGCAATTAAACTTCACCCAGATACCCCTTGTTAAGCCCTCACCCAGATACCCCTTGTTAAGCCCAAAGACCTTGGTTAGACCAAAGCATGCAGAAGGAGGCGACCTCCCCCCTTCCCCGCCCCAAGGTTTCTGCCAATCTCACCCGAGGGGTGGAGCGGGAATTCCTTCCCCACTCCAGATCTGGCGATCAGAATGACCCTGAGCATGTGAGCAACACTTCCCAATCAGGCATTTAGAAAGAGTACTCTCTGTACCACCTCAGAACACTGTCCACCCCACCAGTGTGCCATCTCCAATTGTGGCCAATCGCTAATCCTTCAGAGGAAGGTGAAAAAACCACCCAGAATACATCTGGCCAATTGTGCACTGGGGGAAGAAAAATTCCTTCCTGACTCCTGCAGGCATCTGGGTGAAGCCTTGAAGCATGACATTTGAGTATAGTCATTTTCTTAAGGCAGAACTGGAGATGATTCGAGCATTGAGGGCAATCCAGGCAGCGCTGTTCTCTTGAGCCTTAGTTACAGTGCTTTACAATTCCCAGCCTTTTCCCACAACACTGGTTTCCTCCCCGTTAGTCTGTCAGTGCAGCAGAGTGCACAAGATGAGACTAGAGAGAACCATGCTCTTTTGTGTCACATCAAGAATTTGGATTCTGATCCAAGTGGACCAGCGATCTGATCTATTTATGCACCATCGATCCAATTTTTATACTCCATCCATCTCTGTGGTCCCTGAGTGCCTGACTCACCAGTCAACTGGATTCTGAACTAGAAGGAGCATCTCTTTGACTCCTGGTATTTAGAGACCATGGGGAAAAGTCCCTTAGAACAGCCTAAAACTACTCCATAACCCTGGTGTGACAGGAGCTATGATACTGGCTATATGAGCACATTGTTCTGATACCAGGTGATAGGGATACCTAGCCAGCAGCCCCACTGGTCTGATCCAACACATGAAGGAGAAGAGATCCCAGGGGCGGCATGGAAAGGGGGGCAGGGATGCTGGAGCATGTGGGTCTGTTGGGCTGTGGCAGTAAGGCAGGTGCTGTGCTCCTGCAGCTGCAGAAGTAGTCTGGTGGTGTCTTTGGGTTGGTTGAGCCTCCTGTCCATCTTGCAGCTCTTCCACGAGGCTGCGTACATGGCTGACGACCGCCAGGACCTCCTCAATGCCATCAACGAATTCCTGGACTGCAGCATTGTCATCCCCCCATCAGAAGTGGAGGGGAAAGACTTGCTCAGGTCTATCGCTACCTTCCAGAAAGAGTTACTGAGGAAGAGGAAGGAGAGGGAGCAGAAGAAGTCCACGAAGGAAGGGGTTGTCCAGGAAGCTAAAGGTCTCTTCTCTCTGTTTTGGCAGATAATGAATTTGCATCCAGTGTCTCCCTGTCTGCCCTGGGAGGGTGCAGTGGGGGCTGTGCCATGGGCACTGGCTGGGAGGCCTCTGTGCCTCCCCCTGGCACAGGATAAAGCGAGGACAACGAGTGTGGGGTGAGCAGGGCTGAGTCCTGCAACAGAGATGGGGATGTGTGGGAGGACCCGGGGGGCAGAGCGCGGCCATGGGGATGTCAAGCCCAAGAGGGCAGAGCATGGCCATGGGGTGTGGGAAGCCCGGGGGGGCGGAGAGCGGCCATGGGGAGGGCAGCAGGCCCAGGGGGCGGAGCACAGCTGTGGGGGGAAGCCCAAGTTTCATGTGGGGTGTGTAGGGAGCCTGCCGAGCTTCCCCCCTGCTCACCTGATCTCTGGGAGATGGGTGTGTGCCAGCATATGTCCCCAGGAGAGAGGAGTGGTTCTCGTTCCTACCTTCCCGTTGTAACCCCCGTATACCATGTCTCCCCAGAGCTGTGTGAAGTGAAGGCTGAGGAGGAAGAGGAGGGGGACGCTGAGGACGACCCATTGAGGCGAACCGGCATTTGTTTTGGAGGTCTGGTTCAGGACATAAAGCGCAGGTACCCCAAATATCTCAGTGACATCAGAGACGCCTTGCACAGCCAGTGCCTTGCAGCCGTTCTCTTCATCTACTTTGCTGCTCTCTCTCCTGCCATCACCTTCGGGGGACTCCTAGGTAATGGGCCTGCTTTCTGTCTGCTCTTTGCACAAACTAGCCCGGGCTGGCTGGGCGCTGGCTCTGCCGTCTGAGATTCTGTGCCTGCACTGGCCTCAGGGCTCTAGCGCTGCTCGCTCAGAGGCTGTAGCTGTGCTACGCACATGGCTTGTACTCTCTCCCCGTAACTTGGCCTCTCCAGCTCCAGATCCGTGTGTGGCTCTTTTCTGAGCACCCTGCAGGGTGTCTGAATGCAGGATTCTAAGGGTGGTCACAGCAAAGCTAGAGGGGTTCTACCCTCAAATGTGAGCCCCCCGCCCAGTGCAGAGCGATTATGTCTGTGCAGGGGGGAGGAGGGGACTCCCTGCCCGTGCATAGTGTATCCGCACCACAGTAACTGTATGGGGGACTGTGCCCTCCGCAGGGCTTCTTATCACATACACGTTGTTCTCTCGTAGGAGAGAAGACAGAGGGTCTCATGGGGGTCTCGGAGCTGATCATCTCCACCTCAGTTCTGGGGATCCTGTTCTCCCTGCTTGGAGCTCAGCCGCTCCTTGTCATTGGTTTCTCGGGGCCCCTTCTGGTATTTGAAGAAGCTTTTTTCAAGGTACTTGTAAGCCATCCTGTCACATGTTGCCCCACGCTTCCTCTGCCATTGTACTGTGCTTCGCTTGCTGTGGTTTGTCTGATCAGAGGGGCTAGCTGCACTCTTCTGATGCCGAAAGGGGTGACTCCTAAATGTTCCTGCAGACTGTCACCATACCACAGGTAACCCAGTGCTGGCCCTGCCCTCCTGCCTGTCCTTTCCAGCTCACACCAGTCAGTTCTGCCTCCTCTCACATGGTCCACTTCACTGAGTCTGTCTAGGATTGTGATTTTATTAATGCTTCGCAGTGCTGTCCCAGCCAGCAGCCCTGATATAAGCTCCTGCCTGAACCAGGCCCTGATCTGCATTGCTGTGGTGAGTGCTTATACATGCAGCCCACACTCCTTTTCTCTGTCACTTTTTCTCCTCTTTTGGGTGAGGATTTTCCAGATTCAGTTAACTGTATCCCAGTGTAGCCTGCATCCCATGCAGTCCAGTCCAGTCTCTCTAGGAGAGCAGTAACAGCTCACCTAGCATCATTCTTCATTTCTGATGTGGCAGCAGGGGATTTCATATTGTGGTTATTTGTGCTGCCTCTTGCTTATCCCCGAGTTATGTTCAGGGAGGATCTATGCCAGTCAGTTTGGAGACGTCTCATTCTTGTACATCTTTACGTTGTGGACTGTGGAAAGAAAATGTCTTTCAGTGTCAAGTACAGTGGTTCTAGACACTCTTTTTTTCCATATTTCCAGGGAGTCTGTGTCTCTTGGTTTTCAAGTGCTTTCTCTTATGCCTCTCTATTCCATGCAGAACGTAAGGGCATCACCACTGTCTTCCATCTTTGCCAGTCTCCTGCTGCAGTCTTAGCTTCTTCCCATGTCATTTTGGGAGCTTTCCATTCTGCTTCTGTTGTGTGTTTGCATGTTATCCTTGGTCTCTCTTGTTACCTCTCGCCCTGGGGCTCCATGTCTTGTCCTGTTGTTCAGGTCTTTTCTCCACATGTGTCCTAGCCAGCTCCATTTTTGTTCCATAACTTCCTGTCCTATTGGTTTCTGTTTCATCCTCTTTCGGAGTTCCTTGTTTGTAATTTTTTTCTGGCCATCTGGTATTGAGCATTTGTCTAAGGCAGCTGGTTATGAAAAATTGGAATTTTGATAGAAAGGTCGAAATAAGTCTCCAAGTTTCAACATCACTTCGTAAGACCAGCTTTACAATTGTATTAAATATCTGAAGTTTAGTTTGGAGGGCAAGATTTCAGTTTTTCCAGGTTGGCTTTAGAGTTACAAAACATGTCTGGCTTTTGCTATTCCAGCTTTAATGTCCTCATCTGTTCCACCTGTTGTACTTACAGTGCTACCAAGATATATGAAACTCTTATCAGAACTCTTTTATGTCAGTCCCAGAAAGTGTTATTAGTGTGTCTTGTTATGTGTTGATTCTCATGGTTTTAGTTTTCGCTGTGTTGATCTTCAACCCTGCTAACTGTGCGTAGGCCTGGAGATAATACATTTTGGCTTGCATGTCTCTAGGGCATGGGATAGCAAGTTGATGTCCTCTACAAAGTCAAGGTCCTCTAACTTCTGTATGACAATCCATTGCATAGGTGCCGACTCTGTGGGTGCTCCAGGGTTGGAGCAACCCACGGGGAAAAATTGGGTGGGCCAAGCTCCCCTCCCCACCCCTCTGCCTCACCTCACCTCCGCCTCTACCCCTGAGCGCACTGTGTCCCCACTTCTCCCCCAGCTCCCAGCACTTGCCGCCACGAAACAGCTGTTTCGCTGTGTAACAAGCTCTGGGAGGGACGGGGGAGGAATGGGAACACGGCTTTCTCGGGGAAGAGGCGGGGCCAGGGCAGGGATTTGGGGAAGGGGTTGGAATGGGGGCGGGGCAGGGGTGGAGTCAGGGCGGGGCCTGGGGAAGGGGTGGGTCGAGCCCCCACCAGCGCCAGCAGAAGTTGGCGCCTATGCTCCATTGTATGCCCCTTAGTTGTTCTATAGTCTTTCTCATTACCCAATCCACTACCAGTAGAAAGATCGTGGGTGCCATAAGACATCTTTGTCTGATGCCCATAGTAACCTCGAATGGCTGAGTCAGTTATGTATTACTTGACATGTCATATTTTCATAAAAACTCCTTATGAAAATTTCTGAGGATTCCATTGTAGCATAGCAACTTCCATAACCCTGTTCTATCCACAGTATCCATGGCTTTTTGGAAATCCATACAATTCATATAAAGTGGTGACTGCCATTTGATTGACAGTTCTGTGGTGATCCGTAGTGTTTATTATGATTAGATTACTAGTTTGGGGTTGTGGATTTTGTAATGGGTGAAGGCCTGTCGGAGTTCTTTGCTTCTTCCTAGAGAGCAGCACGATCTCTAGCATCAAGCGTTTGTGATTTGTTCCTCCCCATGTGTAGTGTTCTCTGGGCTTGAGTGGGGTTGTCTATACTGTTGTTCCTGGCATTAGTAGCCAGGCTTGCGTAGGAGTGGAGCATGTTTATGGTTTGGGGTTGGAGCGTGTGGCGCTTTGACTGAGGTGGTATCCGAAGCACAGTGTCCTGTGCTTGACTAGCAGAGGGAGTTTTTCTTGGTCTGTTCAGCTGCCGTTGGTTGGGAAAGTTCCTTTGCATACCTACAGCGGGGCTTGTTGGGCGTTTGTCTGACGGGGGTGTAGTCTGCCTTACAGCTGAACCCCGGCATGCGGACTGGTCTCTCCTCGGGGTGCTGGTGACTAGACTGAGCAGGAGTTTTCCTGGGGAGCTGTGTTGGTGTCATGGTTTATTTGTAGCATGGGAGCAGGGCAGAGGGGATGTGCAATGCACAGTGTGCCCTGGGATGCACCCTAGTAACTAACACTACAGTCTGAGCAGGACAGGCCCAGTGAAACAACAGATACTAAGTCTGTGACTTTACTCAGCAAATGAAGCATTTCCTGTTCCCTCCACCCCTACCTTAACCCCTTCCCTGCCAGGCTGCGTGGAAAATTGTACACACTCCATCCCAGAAATTGATAAAGAACCATGTAGAATGGGAGAGGGAAGGAGGGGGTCTGGGAGAGCAGAGGGGAGAGGCTGTCCCATGGGCCGTGATTAACCCTTCATTTTCCTATTTCAGTTCTGCCAGAGCCAAGGCATCGAGTACCTGACGGGCAGAGTGTGGATTGGCCTGTGGCTCATCGTCTTCATCTTCATCATTGTGGCAGCTGAAGGCAGCTTCCTGGTGCGATACATCTCGCCCTTCACACAGGAGATCTTTGCCTTCCTCATCTCCCTCATCTTCATCTACGAAACCTTCTATAAACTCTACAAGGTGAACTGTCCCCAGGGAGAGGTGCTAGTGTCCGCCCAGCTGTCTGATCTAGCACCTGCCACCGTAGTGTCCACGTGCCTCCCACAATCGATAGAGAGAACAATAGCAACAGCGTCTCTGATGCAGGTCCAGGGTGCCGTAGCATTTCTGGCTGGGCCTGTGAAACAATTCTTTGCCACCTCTCAAGCCCCCAAACACGAGTGCCCCCTGTGTGCTGTAACCACGTTGCTGTGCACAGGTATTGGGTGGAGCATAGTGGGACACATGCCAAACCTTCTCTCCCTTCCCCTGCAGCAGTACCTTGACACATAACTAGTTTTTTCTTTTCTTTTCTTCCTCAACCTCCCTGGTGCGGGTAGATTGTGAGATGAGCTATTTGGGGAAGTGCAGTGATGGGCTTGGCAACACACAGGGCTGTGCTCACACTTGATTGTCGTGAATGCACCCTCTGCTTGTCTCCCCTTTCCAGGTCTTTGCAGAGCATCCTTTGCTGAAGTTTTACCCGCCGAGTTTGCAGACTGGCTTGAATGCCAGCGCGCTCTCTCCTGATGCTGTGTCTCTGGGAACCAGGATGCAGCCCAATACTGCCCTCCTCTCACTCATCCTCATGCTGGGCACCTTCTTCATCGCTTTCTTTATGCGCAAGTTCAAGAACAGCCGTTTCTTAGGAGGCAAGGTAAGCGGCTGAGCTGTGACCCAGCGGCCCCATCCTGTGGCCCTTTCATCCACCATGCATCCCTTCTGGCTGCACACTTCTGCCCTCTGTGGCACCCACATTATCTATTCTAGCATGTCTGAACCTGGTGCCCTGTCCTGGCTCACATGGTCTTACCAGGCCTATGTGGGCAAAGGGCTGTCTGTGCTGATAGGAAGCTGCCTGAAGAGAGAGCTGGCACCCTGGTTTGTTGTCTCTCTCCAGGTGAGTCTGGTGCCATCAGGGACCACCCCTGTCAAATAAACACCAACAGTCCTCTGAATGCCATTGGAGAGGGCAGGCCAAGGCCATAGATAAGACCTGGCTGCTGCTGACACTTCTCTGTCCTACCCACATCTGCCCCAGGGTATCTTCAGATGGAGGGATCCAGCAGCCCAAGCGCTGCTTGGACCTAAACACTTCAGGCCCTCAGCAGGGCTTCTCTGGCTGGATCCAGAGTCAAGGGTCTGCTAAACTGGAGCTTTACAGCCTTAGGGACTGGGGTGTATATGAGTCTCCATAGGTCAGGCTAATCTTAGGGGACTGGACTCCAGTATGTGTCAGTGACCTGGCATGGAAGGAGGGATAAACTTAATGTTAGTTCTCTCTGTGATCTGCCTGTCTGCCCATCTGAGGCGCTAATACAGCACTCAGTGCCATGGGACCCGAGTGCTTTTCTAAGGCGTTTCCAGCTAGAAGGTGCCTGGTGAATGCTGGCTTCCCACCCAGTCTCCCAGGGGCCAGATGGTGTCTGGAGCAGCCCAGATATCTGAATGTGGTTAGAGAGCAGCTGGGGCCCAGCCAGGGAGAAAAGCAGCCCAGTGGGGTCAGGGAGTGACCAGAGCTCTTGTATCCTCTGCTCGTTAGCAGCATTCACATTTGTAGTGGGCACCTGGCCCGTCCCTTGGCTGGATGGATCGTCGGCCTGTCTCGGGGCTCTGTACAGTGCCTGGCATTGTAGCAGTCTCTAAGCGCTTGGCCTGCTCGTTCCCACTGAAGCGTGTTTGCTTTGCAGGCTCGACGGATCATTGGAGACTTTGGAATCCCCATCTCGATCCTGGTCATGGTCTTGGTGGATTACACCATCACAGACACGTACACACAGGTAGGTGCTGGCGCTCCCATCAGGCCCGGACACCAGCCCAGCACTTATGGGACTACCGATTGTTCCATTCACTGTGCTTGTGTAGTGAGATGTTTTTGTGTTTTCCACTTTCTCAGTCAATACAATGCAAACCAAAGAGAGATTTTTGTGCATATACTTCTGCGAATCAGAGCTGTGGGAGCAGCCCCGGGAGGCACTGAGACCTACCAAGATATGGGTCAGAGCCCTAAGGGATTGAGGGTTCCTGCAACACCAAGAGCCAGATCAGAGCTGTGCAGGTTTGAGAGTCTGCCTGTTGCCGAGAGCTGGATTAGAACTGTGTGCAACAGGTCTGTGCAAGCTAAATAGGAGAAGGGAGGTGGTGTTCCCTCCGAATACAGCATTACGAAACCCATTACTGGAGGCTGTGTCCAGTTTTGGTGCCTGCACTTCAGAAGGGATACTGAACCCCTGGAAGGAGCTCAGAGACAGTTCAAGATCTGGAAAATCTCCTTCGCAGTAAGCCTAAGGAGCTCATTGTATTTAGTGTATCCAAGAGGAGCAAAGAGGTGACTTGATCACTGTCTGTAAATACCTTCCGGGGGGCGATTTCTGGCTTGTCTACATGGTGCATTAGTCTTCCCCAAGGGTGTAAATTCTAATGCACACTAGCGTGTTGTGGACTAACTGTCCTGTGTGGATCCTACTGGTGTGCACTAAAAGTTTCCTTGTGCGCATTAATTTAGTATTGTTTGAAATGGGAAAGTTTAGTCCACACCAGCAGAGTCCCCTGAGCCACTTAGTACATGAAACCCTGGTTGCATCCCTGCCTCAGTTTCCTTTAACATACTTTCAAAAAGTCCAATGAGGCTTATATATATTGAACTGTGCCTCTACAGGGGTCTAGTTTATTCAATTCAAAATGGTGAAATGTGCTACGCAAATGAGCCTCCACACCAGCATCCGAGAAGGAAGAAGGGGGCCAGATTAACCTTAGTCTGTCAACTCCACTTATGTCCCTCTCCTGCCTCCATCCAGGCTCCTTACCTGTGAAGCGCTCTTAACCCAGGATCCGCTTCTGGAGTCAGGGCCTCTGGGGAAAGGTCCCCACAGAGTTCAAACCAAGGCAGCCCTGGCATATAATTCCTCTGTGATCTGCAGCTCCTGCTGAGGTTCTCTCACTGGGACCGAGTTCTGCTAGGGCTTGGCATTCACAGCTCTTCCCTTTCGAAGCCTCTTCTTCGGTCCCCTCGCCTGCTGAGCTCCACACTGACCCCCGAGAAGAGCTCTCCTTAGGAGCTCTCTGTCTCTGCTCCACTCCCAGTCTGAGCCCTCATGACCCCGGGTAAGGCCCGGGTGCTCCTTACCTACTGAACTGCCGTCCAGCTGGGTCGGCTCAATCTCCTCGGCGGAGCCTGTCACAGGCAGGCTGGGTACCTGCCCCTCCAGAGCCAGCCCCCAGGACGGTGCTTGACACACTAGTGCTCAGTAGAACTGAGACTCCCGAACCAGGCAGACAAGCCCTGAGAGCCAAGGCTCTTGAACCCAGCAGACAGAGGCAGAGCGACACCCAGCGGCTGGGAGCTGAAGTGAGACAACTCAGACTAGAAATATGGCACTGATGTTTAACGGGGAGGGGAACCATCCACAGGAACAGGCACCCAGGGACGTGGTGGCTTCTCCATCACTGGGAGTCTTCATATCAAGCTCAGGCATTTCTTTCTATAACCTCCACCCCTGCTCAACCACAGCCGATGGAGGGGATGCAGGAAGGGAGGGATGAGGGTCTCTGGCATGGGCTAAGCAGGAGCTCAGACTGGGGGGATGATAATGGCCCCTTCTGGATTTAACATGTACGATACCAAGGGCCAGGTCAGAGCTGTGCGGGGCTGAGACTCCCTGCGGTACTGAGAGCCGGGTCGGAGCCATAGGGGGCTGTGGATCCCGGCGGTACCCAGAGCCGGGGCTGAGGATCCCGAGCGGTACTGAGAGCCGGGTCGGAGCCATAGGGGGCTGAGGATCCCGGCGGTACCGAGAGCCGGGTCGGAGCCATAGGGGGCTGTGGATCCCGGCGGTACCCAGAGCCGGGGCTGAGGATCCCGAGCGGTACTGAGA